TAGAAAAAAAATAAAAAATAAAAAATTTAAAAGAAGGCCATAACCAGTAAAAGTATTGTCAGAAAGTCCACTGTTCCATCGATCTTTTATGTCGTACTCCTCCCTTTACTGGCAATCACAGTCAGGGAAGTTTATACCTGTATTTATGTCATTTTTAACCATCCCAACCAGAGTTACTCATAAGACTGTGTATATGAGCTAGGGGCTGCAGCTACCTATGTAGGACTCAATCACTGTCCCATGTCAGGGTGTGACAGGGAAGCTTTGGCTTAAACACACACACATTAAAATCCATACTTGCGGGGATCTGGTGTGAGGGGCAACGTATACAAACTTTGTAGGCAAACCAGTGTAAAATTTAAAAAAATTATTATTATTCATTTTAATGAAAATTTACAGAGACTTTGTATTTCCATTCATTCAAAAACAATTTAAAAAAAACAAACACCTGACTCTTTGTACTTAGGATAGCGCAGCTGACTGGGTAGAATGCTCCTGCTTGGTGCTTTCACCTGCCGAGTGGGGGAGGTTTTCCCCCGGCTCCTCCCCACCTCCTTTCTTCAGCTCTTTCATTCATTTAAAATATCTGGTCTCTAATCTGACACCACTGACTGGCTGAAGGACAACAGTGGTGACGGTCATCACCATCAAGAAAGCCCAGTGCTCACTTCCATGCCTGAGAGATGCCCGGGGAGGAGGAGGTGTCACACACAAGCCTGGCCTCTCTGGTGAAGCATGAGGCTCTTGGGGATCCCTGGGTCTTTTGTCTTTGGGGTCTGCTGCTGGAACTTGCCAGAAGGCTCTCACTCAGCAGAGGCTAAGCCCAGTGACCCCTTCCAGAAAAGCCAGGAAGAGTTTCCCCTCTCTAGCTGAGACCCATGAGAGCAGGCTGATTTCTCTGGCCTGCACCCTCAGAAGAACAGGCATCTCAAAACCAAGGGAGATGCAAGGTGTCCAAGGTCTCACCTTGAAAGCCAGATGCTCCAAAAAGTAGCCTGCGCCATTGTTTTTTTCAGTCTCGTAACGGCTGCCAGCATCAATCCACACTCCCACCTGGAAAAGAAGCCACCAAAAAGGTAACAAGCCACGTTAGAACCTACACACACCTCTGAGTGACTCAGCACAGTCCCCAAATAGGGGCTCAGGAGTCCCAGGGTATGTGAGTGGGAGTGGGGGGATTGTGAGATGGGGGTAGAGGATATGCTCAGATAGGACCTCTGGGCTTGGAGGGGCAGCGGCAGTGTGCAGGGCACAGGACACCAGCTAAATGCATACTAATCACCTCTCCTTTCTGAGTGGTGACTGAAGCCACGCCACACTCTCTGGTTCTACCATCACAACAAAGTCTTAGATTATCTCACTTTCAGCTGATTCTTTGGGCTTTTCTAGGAATTGCAACTCAACTATAAACAATAATTTAGTATCCTCATTTCTAAAAATTATGCCCTACCTTTGTTTTGGCTTTTAACCTTTCATCACTACAGAAAGAAGCTACTAATTTAGATACTACAACTGCACATTTTATCACATTCTACTGACATTTTTTTCATATAAGCAACATGGCTCTGGACAAGTCCACTTTTGAGGGACCTCTCTAAAATACTGAAGAGCAATAAGGTCAGTTTGAAGACTAAGGTGCACCTGATTCGGGCTAGAGTCTTCAATTATTTGCTATGCATCTGAGACCTGGACAATGAATAAGGACGACAGAAGAAGAAATAATGTCTTTGAATTGCAGTGTTAGAGAAAAGTACTAAATATCCCATGGACTTCCAAAAGAACAAACAGGCATGTCTTAGAAAAAGTGCAGCTGAAGTGCTCCCTGGAAGCTAGAATATAAAGCTTCATCTCTCCTACTGTAGAGAGAGAGGGTTTTCCATGGAAAAGGGTATCTGCTTGGAAGCGTGACATGTCAGCAAAAGTGAAGTGCCCCTTCGAGATGGACTGACACAGTGACAGCAGAAATGGGCTCAAGTGAATGAGAGATAGTGAAGATAGTACAGGACAGCGCAGGATTCAGATCTGCTGTTCATATGTTCACCATGATTTGTACTTGCCTCAATGGGACCCAATACCAACGACCACACTTTAAAAAAAAATGATGAGGTTCTGCACACCCGTGTTTATTGAAACAGATGAGGAAAAAAGCTGGTTTTTTTTCTATAATTATATTTTATTAATTTTCATAAACATTTACAGAGATTTTGGGTTTCCATTCATTCATTGTTGCACGAAAAAAACTGTTTAAGAGGGAAAATTATTAGGTATTTTCTGTCATGACAGGAGTCCAGAGCGAAGGTTGTATAGTGGAGTGGACCTTGGGGGAGGGATTGTAAAACAATGAAAAAATTTTTCTTTTACTTTTCCAAGAGGGTTACTAGGGAGAGGGTTGGGAGGGGAGAAAAGTGCAACAGTGAATGAATGGAAATCCAAAGTCTCTGTAAATTTTCATTGAAATTAACAATAAATTAAAAAAAAGAGGTTCCTACCCCAAAGAAACCATAACCACCACCCAAGCAGATATATGCACACCCATGTTTATCATGGTTTTATTCAGAATAGCAGAGCTGGAAACAATCTAAGTGCCTATCAACAAATGAATGGATAGAAAAGCTGTGGTATATATTCACACCATGGAATATTATACTGCATTGAAAAATAAGGAATTCATGAAATAGTACACAAAACTGGTGACCCTGGAGGATATTACACTGAGTGAAATATCTTGGTCACAAAAGGACAAATACTGCATAGTGCCACTGTCGTAAAACGGAACTGACACTGGGGGTGGGAGAAACTGAGAAAGATGGGATAAATTATGTAAACTGCATTGAAACAGATGAGGGAGAGAACTGTTTAAAAGGGATATGTGATTAGGTATTATTGTCATGACAGGAGTCCAAAATGAAGGCTGAATAGTGGAGTGGACTTGGGGGGGAGGGACTGTATCATTTTATAATAGAATTATAATAGAATTTTTCTTTTACTTTTCAAAGAGAAGATCGAACTGGGGGGATGGGTGGTCAGGGAGAAAAGTGCAACAATGAATGAATGGAAAAAAGAAACGATGCACTGACTCAAGTGGTAATATCTTCAACCACCCTATATGTATGTGAAAGCAGGACAATAACTAAAGACTGAATTAAAAACAAACAAAAAAAAAAGAGGTTCCTAAATAGATCTGGTTGTTAAAGGCAAGTGGTTCAAGCCCACCAGCAGCTCTGCAGAAGAAAGATAGCCAATCTCCTCTGTGCAACTGACATCGTCCGAAACCTGGTGAAGGGTCAGCTATGAGTCATTTCCAACTAGTCAGCACATAACAACAATCAGATCTGAACACCAAATACTTCTACCTGGCACCCAAAGAAAATCTTGTGACCCACCTGGACACGATGGTCTAGTCTCTTCATTTTCTATTTGTTCACAATTGATTTACATAGTCCACATCTATCTACTTCCCTAAAGGAAGTAGTGTAAGAATTTCATGTTCCAAGTCCCTAGATGAACATTCATGTCACATCTAACAACTTGGAAAGCAATACACATTTTACAATCCACATAAATATAATTAGCAATGCTGTTTCTCTGGTACCGAAGCACAATGGTGCTCCATATAATCTAGAGCTTATTCAGCTCTGTGAATTGCAGCATTCTCTATTGCATTTTCTCAACAAGCTTTGAGTGGGTTTATGATGGTGTCATCTGACAAGAAAATTGCCTACCATCTTTTTCTGTAGTTTAGTAACAACTTACAGCCTAGTATATCCGTCCCTAGCAACAGAAAGAAAACCATTTGGCCCTGAAACTTCATGGAGACTGGATGAATCCCAGGAAAGCTTCCCAACTATTCATATATCCAAGAGTTCTAGCCTTGAGTCAGTTTTAAAATTTGGCGTTTTGGTGTGTTTTTTTTTTTTAAATCATCCACTTCATTTGAATATCCAAAGGTATTTCTTCCACAAGTGCATTCCTGGTCTAGTCTGGAGGTTATGACCTTGGACTGAAGCTGAAAGACCTAGATGGCTTCTCAGAACCTCATCTTTCAACCTTATAAAACGGAAACACACACGGTTCGAATCCACCAGATGCTCTGCCGGGGAAGGAGGGACAATCTCCTCCTGTAACAGTCAGATCCGACTTGACAGTACACACACACAATAATAAAATTAAAAAAAAACAAACAAACAAACCAAACACAAAACCGGAAACAATCATCATGGGGAAAAAGCTGGAAAAGTTGGATCTTTTGCATGTCAGGCATCAACGGTGGTTCCCAGGACTACCCCAAAATATAAAGGGATGGCTGGGATCAGGTACGGGAGTGCAAGAGGCAATCAGGTGGTGAGAAAATCGGAGTCTGAATAAAAATCCCAGATGGGGAAACCGGGGCTAAAGATGAGCCCGAGGACCCTCCCCTCCCCACGAGCAGCACCCCGCACTCACCGTGCAGGTAGGCTGGGTGGACTGCTCCGAGGCCACCCGCAGTCCGTTGTCCAGCTGGCTGACCTGCGTCTCAGGCACGTTCTGGAGGGCTTGGGCGAAAGTGGCCGCGCCCCGCAGGGCAGGGGACCTCAGCAGGGCCGGCTGGGGAGAGAGAGCAGTCTCGAGTGAGGCTCAGATTGGGACAACAGCCCCGAGCGGCACCGCCATGCAAGCCTCTCCTGCAGCAGGTCCCTCGTCCGGGTGCCCAGGCCCGCGGCGAGAACCTAGTCCAATCCTTCAGCCGTGACCTTCCCTCGGCCGTGACCCTGCGGCCTCGCTCCACCTCGACCTGCCACCGCTAACTGCCTGCTTCCATGCGTGTCTTCAAACCCCGCGCCCCGCAACCCTGTGCCCTGCACTCTTCGCGCTCCCGCTGCAGCCTCACCGAACCCCGGGAGTGCAGCAGCAACCGGGCCCCGGCGCTCGCTCCCCGGCACACTGCGGACGCCGCCATCTTCTTGCTTAGGTCAGAGTCAAGAGACACCGTGCAGGCGCAGAGTAGGAAGAGCGCGGTGCGCAGGCGCAGTCCTGGATACTTTGCTCTCGGCTGCCCCCTGGCGGGAACTGTGAGCGTCCACTGGCGATTGGTTGGTTGCCTTAGTGCAAGAGTCCGCTAGTCCTTGCGGGTGTCACTCCACCCATCGGCCGCGCGGACCCACCTGTGGCACATCGCCTCCTTTCATCCGTGAGAGTCCACGAGGCCCCCGATTCTTTACATGAACAACCAGGTGGGATGGGTCAGAGTCACAGCTACTGTCCACCGGGCGAGTCCAGCACTGTACAAGCCGGAATCCTGGGGTTGATAGGCAGAGAAATAGATTCAAACGGCTAACATGGAAGTTTATTAGCGTACTGCTAAGAAAAAAAATTAAGCTTCTTGAAAACTAATTGTGAAGATTCTTTGCATAGAAAACGAAAAAACTCGCCGTGCCATTGCTAATAGAAAAGAGTGTTGTATACCGTAGAGTTGGAACCAACCCATAGCTCAGAGGGTTTTCAGAGGCATTTAGCTAATCGCACGGGAGGAAATTGGCCATCCTTCTCCCGAGGAGCAGCTGGTGGCCTTGAACCGTGGGTCTTTGGGATTGCAGCGCAGCTTCTGGCCACTAGGCCACCAGAACTCCCTAACAGAAATTGGGGGGGGGGGGGTTTGGGAGGGGTGGTGGTGGTGAGAAATGCAGCGGAGCACAAGGTACACTTTTAGCTGAGTGACTTCCAGGAAATGGACTGAGTAGGAGAGAAAGAAGGCTACTACTTTTACATTTTTAAATTAATACAGAGTTCTAATTTTTGCAAAAAAAATGATGCTTTTTGAGCTCTGAATTCTACTTCCTTTTACAAATAGTATCTATTTTCTTGATTTTGTGATCTTCCAAAAAAGATACATGTATTTATATTTTGTGAACTAAACTTGTTAGGATTTATTTCGATATGAAAAATAAGAGAGAACTGCCTGGCCAGTCTACCTTCTCACTTTTTCTTTTTTAGCTTTATCTTTAAGAATAATTTTAGATTTACCGAAAATTAAGCATAGTCCAGAGAATTCAATATACTCTCTCTCTCCTCCCCGATCTCTCTATTATTAATTACCTTACGTTTGTATAGGTCCCTGGAGGTCATAACTTTAAAGGTTGGTGATTCAAAACCCACCTAGTTTTGCCAGGGAAGAGCTGTCAACAAAACATAATGGACAAAAAAAAATGGTTGGAGGGGAAACTCCCATATGTGGCTCAGTTCCACTCTGTTAACACACGGGGTCGCTATGAACCAGAATTCACTGATTTGACATTGAGTTTGTCTATTCATTGCCCTCAAATGGAAACCAACTCACAGCTGACTTTCAAGGGTTTTAAGAAGCTGTATGTAACCAGGCTGCTCTTTGGAGGCAAGGATTTTGAGGCTTCATCTAACATACTTTGGGCATGTTGCAAGGAGGGACCAGTCCTTGGAGAGGGATATCAAGCTTGGAAGGGTGGAGGGACAGCATAAAAAAGGAAGACCCTGGATGAGATCAATTGATTTGGGGTCATGGGGGTAGGGTGTTTCAGAGACAATGAGATTGGCTCCAGATAGAGGAGGGTTCAGATATCTTGTACATAGGTTCGCTATGAGTTGCAAGACAGAACTTAAATTGCATATCACATGGGAGGAGATTACCCATCTTTCTCCCAAGAAGAAATTTGGGAATTCAATTATCTCCCTACCCACTGTTGTTTTTTTGTTGTTATGTGCCTTCGAGTCGCCTGCGACTCATGAGACCATATGGGTACATTATTATTATTATTAACTAAAGTCTGTAGTTTATTCAGATTTCCTGAGACACTGTTTGGTTTTTAAAAACCTTTTTTCTGTTCCAGATTCCTATCTGGGATAACATATTAGATTTCATCGTCTTGTCTTCTTAGACGTCTCTTGGCTATGACCCTTGTGTTTTTAACACAATTAGTCATTACTTGGAAGGAAGAGATATCTGGATGTGTTCTTTACTTTGTAACTGGACCAAGTGCACACAATGAACAAGATAGAAGAATGGAAAACATTCAAGTATCAAAACAGATCTTGAAATGTGGTATATAGAGTATCATAGTAGTGATAAGTTGCTGTTGCTGTTAGGTGTCATTGAGTGTGACCCACAGGGACCCTATGGTCAGATTCCTGTCCTGTGCCACCCTCACCATCGCTGTTAGTCTTGAGCCCATTGCTGCAGTCACCACATCAATCCCTCTTGTTGGTAGGCCTTCTTCTCTTTCACTGGCCCTCTGCCTTTAAAAGCATAATATCCCTTTCCAAGTAATAACTTCTTCTAACAACATCTTAAAAGAATGAGATACTCTGAACCAAGCCCAAGCAAGACTTGGATCCAAGCAAGATTAAATTATTGACACCGTCAATCCTTGCTCCGTCTACCATGATGTTGTCTGTTGGCCCTCAGATGAGGGCCTTTGTTTTCTTGATGTTGAAATGTAACCTGTACCAAAGGTACATGTTGTAAGGAGAGACAGGTCCTTGGAGAGGGATATCATGCTGGGTAGAGTAGAGGGACAGCGCAGGAGGGGAAGACCCTCTATGAGGTGGATTGATTCAGTGACTGGGGTAATCGGGATGGGTGTGTCAGAGGCAATGCGATTGGCACAGGATAGAGCAGGGTTTAGGGCTGTTGTACATATAGAGTCGCTATGAGTCGCAAACGACTCGATGGCACATAACAACAAACAACAACTCCAAAGGTGATGCTTCTCTGGCAGTTCAAAGCCACCAGCAGTGCCTAGGGAGAAAGAAGGGCCAACTCCTCCCTCATGATTCACAGCCTCTGAAAACCAGCTGGAGGGTCCGCTGTGAATTGGTTCCAACTTGATAGCAATGAGTTTGAATTTCTAGATGACAGAACATGTATCATCTCCACAATTTCTATATAAACAATTTAGTGACTCTGATTACAGACTTCAGTTCAAGATTTAAAGAATATCTCAGGGTGATAATCTTAGGAAGCCTCAAGCTGTCCAGCAATTTCTTAAGTAAACTAAGAATTTGAAAAAAAAAATTCATTCATTGTTGCATAATTTCCTCCCTTCCCACCCTTGAACTTGGGTGGGGGATAGGGAGGAAAATGCACAACCATGAATGAGTGAAGATCCCATGGTTCTGCATTCATGAAAATCACAATATTTTAAAAAAATAATAATTTGAGGGGAAAAAATATCTTGCCTTATGTTTCTCTCTATCAGGGTCTGTCTGTTGTGGCCTGTTCAGAATGGTCAGTAGTAGTAGCAAGACCCTATTTAGTTCTTCTGGTCTCAGTGTAGATGAGGCCATGACTTTTAGGCTATTAGTCCTGTAGACAAGTTTCTTCTTCCTCTTTTGCTCCTTGTAGAGACCAATAGTTTTATCTTAGTTGGCCGCTTGCAATGTTGTTTTTCTTTTTCTTTCTTCTTTTGTAGAATTCACATTTCTTGAATAACGGTTGTCATACAAGCTGGCATTTCTGAATTCCAAATAAATTCCACCTTTTTGCATCTAGTATTTGATCTGTTACTTTGCAGCACCAAGAGGCTTGGTGCCAGCCTGATGTTGACTCAACAATGGGATGACATCTATAATCCACTGGCAGTTTAATAACAAGGCCTTTGCGGCTTCTGTCATCCTCTGCAGAGATGGCCTACTGCCCTCCTTTCTGTACAATCTGGGCAAGCTGACCAGTGATGGCAAGCGTAGGTGGTGTTAAGGAAGCGGTCCACACCGCTAGAGAGAGACAGTTTTCAGTGCGAGAGTCTAGATGGTTGTCCGGCTTTTCCACACACTTATCCCAACCTAGCTCCTTGGAGTGATACACCTGTGCGGTGAACTGCGCCCTCTGCTGTTCCACCTCAGCAAAGCACCGTACCCCCCTGCACCCACCTCGCCCAGCTCCTCCACTGCCGACAAGCCTCAGCCGCTTGCAAGCTTTTAAGACTCCACGTGCAGGGAGCTCTGGTGGCCTAGTGGCAAGAGGCTGCCCTGCAATCCCAGAGGCATGCAGTTCAAATCCACCAGATATTCTGCTGGAGAAGGAGGGGCAATCTCTTCCTGTACCAGTCAGATCTGATTTGCTGGTGTACACACACACACACACACACACACACACACACGAAAAAATTATAAATAAAAAGAAAAGACTCCACATGCTACTTGCCTCACTAGGATGCATAACATCATACTGATAAACTGTTCTGATTGAATCATCGGGACTACAGGCCTAAATCTTCAAACCCAGAAGAACAATCTCACATGTTGTTTGGTTATATCTAAGAAATGTCTTTAAATGTCTTCTGTGCATTTATATGTCTCAGGCACGTACCTTTATACACATGTGCACATAGATTCTTCTACCTCTGCATATGTATGTGTATGCCTGTACCTACTAAGACGCATATATGCCTATACGTGTACATTTGTGATCGTACACTGGCTTCTTTTGGTGATTGTTGGAGTCTCTCCACTCATTCCCCAAAGTGTTTCCTAAGCACCTCTTAGTTCTGGGCCTGTGCTAGGCAGCTGGAGTGCAGCAGGCCTACAGAAAGGAATAGGTGAGGGATATGTGTAAAACAATGTTTCAGACAGTGAGAGGGCTCTGAGGGGAAAAACAAATACATAGCGTTGTTTTTGTGAGGAGACAATATTCGAGCCAAGACCTGATTAATGAGGTCAGATGAATATCTGGAGGGAAAACAAGTGCTAAAACTTCAATGTGGGAGCAAGCATTATGTTTTCAAAGTACGAGAGAGATTTATGTGGCTAGAATAAAGTGAGAAACAAAGAGGGCAGGCAATGAAGACTGTAGCCAGAAAAGCAATCAGGCTGGTTCTGACGTTTTACAGGCCCCATGGTCTTTATCCCACAGATAGTGGCGACCATGGAGCTTTTAAATATAAAGGGCTCTGAGTCATGTTTTTAATCAATTACTCTAACACAGAAATG